GGCTGCCCCTGCTTCAGATCGACGTTTCGTTGCTGCCTCTGTTAGCGAGAAGAAGGAACGGGAGGAGGCGGAGGGTTAAGCCGGCACCGGCAAACCGCGCCGCCCCAACCACCCAGCCCCTTCCAGCACGGCCTCAGCTGCTTGCCGGTGTTGCCCTGGAGGGGAAGGCCAGAACAGTTCAAGGTACTAAGTAGACAAGAGGTGGAGAAGGCCCCTGTACTTGCCTAACACTCAGGTGAAGATGCAAGGTTCACACACAAGTCCTACAGGCTGTTGGGAACCTGGTATTTCAGACAGATTCGTGTGATCCACTCTCCAGCAGCAGTTTTACATTGTGCAAAAGATGCAGAATTAAAAGAGCTGCTTAGTACAAGTTTACTAGTTGTTCTCCAGTAATGACCTAGTAAGCTGGTACCAGCAAGTAGTTATTGCTCATTAAAGACACCTCTGTTCCATGGAATCATGGAATTGTTTAGGGTGGAAAAGACGTTTAATATCATCAAGTCCAACTGCTAACCCAGCACTGCCAAGTCCACCTCTAAACCATGTCCCCAGGTGCCACATCTACACATCTTTTAAATACCTCCAGGCATGGTGACTCTACCACTTCCCTGGGCAGCCTGTTCCAATGCCAGACAACCCTTTTGGTGAAGAATTTTTTTCCTAATATTGAACCTAAACCTCCCCTGGCACAACTTGAGGCTATTTCCTCTTGTCCTGTCACTTGTTATGTGGGTGAGGAGGCCAACATCCACCTCACTACAACCTCCTCCCAGCAAGCCTGGTTTTATTCCTTTCCCCCTTTGAAACTACTTAAAGCTCTTTTGATGAGTCCTGCCAGCTCCTGTGCAAAGATCCTTCTCCTTCATGACAGGTGTACCCCATCTATCACCAGCAGGTCTGGTGTCATGTAAACTGACACATGAGGAAAAGCCCCAAAATGTTGTTATTTCCTGGCTAACCAGGATATATTTCTTCAGCCAGTTCCCAGCAACCCAAAGATGTACTTTTATAGTGAGCTGGCAATGGTTTGTGCACCCAGATGACACGGGTGTCCAAAGCTCCCAGGGATGGGACAGATAATTTGTGTGGATGTGGCAGCCCAGCTCACTGTGACCACAGGGCACCAAGACAAGCGCAGCAAGTCCTGCAGCAAGGTCCTGGGGCAGACCTAGGTTGCTCTAGCCCACAGAGTGCTAGTAAGAAGTCAGCTTGCCAACTCAGAGCATGCCACGGTGACCAGTGACAGGTGTCTCTCCGGGCACCTTGTCCCCTTCAGCCTCCTCATCAGTGAAACACCACGGCTTGAGGATGCGGTATGGACACGCCACCAGGACGGTCACTGGGGAAGGCCTCTGGTCTAGCGACCAGGTTAAATCCTTGCTCCTGTGGGAGACTGAGGCTGGAAAGAGGAGGGAGGGACGAGAGCCATGGGAGGTCTGCCAGGGCACCCCAGTGTGGCACTTACTCTGAGTCCGAGGTGTCAGCAAGCCCTGTTCCCACGTGGACGTTCATGGCCATGCCGTTGAGCTGCTCTCGGGACTGCTCCCTGCGAGCGCTTTTCACCGTCACCCCCGAGTCGGAGGGGGGAGAGCAGACCCCATCACTGGTGCCCAGGGGAGCAGTCCTGCAGGGGGCCGTGGGCTGGCTGTAATCCGAGAGCTTCTCCCGCAGCCGATTCTTCATGTTCTTGTCCACCAGCGGGGGAGGGTAGGTGACTTTATTTTTTAAGATGCCTGTTACGGAGAAGAGGGAACGATGAGGATTTTGGCAGCTATCAGTAATTTCCTTTACCAAGCTGAACACATCTAAGAAGTGACATTTTGTATTTCTTAATCCGACTACTAGTTTGTCACTTTATTTCAAAACCAACAGATCAGACTTCAGCAACTACCTGCTAGCTTCCCTTGGCGTATCTGCTTACACAGGTTGGAGACACTTGGAAAGTGTTCTTCCCTGACAGAGCTACCATATGAACTAATTAATGCTCATTCACCCCCCCAGCCTCCCAATCCAGCTGCGAGGTGAGGCTGTCTGTGCTACCTTTCCTCTGCTCTGGCTGCTGGTTATTCTGGTGGGACAGAGGTCTGTTCTCCTTCTGCTGCCCTTCGTTCTCCTTGTCCTGCGGCGTGTCGCTGCTGTGGTTCACCTGGTTCTCCCTGTGAAGCTCCACGTTGACCTTGGTCTCGACTTTGAGCTTCTGCTTCCCGCTGGGGTCCTCGCTGTCACTGGCCGTTACACACTCTGTGGGCCAATAGGGTTTCACATGATTGGGAAGGGTATCAACTGCAATGCAAAAGAACACTAGCTCGAAAACCACTTTTGATATGTTTTCTCAACCGCTGCCTAGCCAGCCCTGTCCCCTGTGGCTGAGGAGCAGCGTGTGTCAAATCAGAACGATCCTTCAGATGATTACTGCTGAGCTGCACTGACCCCTACAAAACACACCTGGTAGGATGGCAAGGTGTCCAAACCCTTCCCAGAGCCAGGTTGCTGGCTCCACTACGAAGAATTGTGAGGCAAGGCTGCCCCCTCAGCTCTCCAGGGCCAGCAATCCTCCTGGCTCCTTGGGGTGGTTGGTTTCTGAAGGATATAAGGCACGCAAGGCAGCTTGTGCTGTGTGTGTGCAGAGCACCAGCACATAGCCTGGATGGTTGTCAGTCCAAGCTATCTTACCTCCAGGACAAGATGAACTATATCTATAAGTGCCTGTACCCTGCCACACAGTACTGATATTAATGGCCAAGGATCTCCAACTCTTTAGGTCCAGGACATCCCCAATGCCACTAAATCCACATGCCTCCATTGCAGCAGGAGAGGAAGGTTTTCCTGCCTTCAAAAACAACCATCTTCTTCCTCTGCTGCTTCTTCCTTCATATGAGACTTTGCCTGCTGGGTGGTACCATTTCCAAGTGCTGTGGGGACCCACCTGCAAAGCCCACCCTCTGCCTGAGCACTTTAAGTTGCAGATTTGCTCGAGCATCCTTTTATTTGTGCTCAGTCACCCCTGTGAACAAGCCTTTTGGAGGAAGAAAAGTCTCTAAGCTGTATTCAGAAGGAGTTCTGCAGAAGCAAGGCACAGCAGCAGGGGTGCTGTCACAGCCATATGGTAGCCTGGCAAATTTGTCCCGTTTGCTCTAAAGCTGTTTTATAGAAGGGAATAAACCCGTTGTTCTCCCCTTGCCCTGGGAATACCTTTGGGTGTGCTGTGGAGTGGTCCATGTTCGTTATTTTTGGAAGTGGATGTGTTCCACTTCTTCTCTGTCTCCATCCCATCCTCCTCACTGTCTGATGAATGGGAGGAGGCGTAAGAGCTGCTGTGCTCGTCCAGGGACAGCTCGCTGTCGGAGTCTGAGTCGTGCTCTGCAAACGGGGACAGGGGAATCAGCAGTGAGGGTGTGCACAGGAGCTGAACACATCTGCCTGACGGAGGCACAACGAGAGAGCAAGGGCAGGAGTCTCGTTCAGGCCACACCAGGGGTGGGCTCTTACATCTGTAAGCATACATGGGATTAATTCACAAGGACTGTGGCACCCATCTAAGTCATTCTGGGAAGCACAACCACTTGGCTCAACCAGCAGGCAGGACCTTTTATGTGCATGGGAGGTGCACAACAGAATGGAGATGCTTTTTTCCCTATTCAATATGCAGAACTCTAACTCTATAGGATCTTAACATAAGACACAGGTGAAGCCAAGGTAGCTATAAATATGAAGAATCTGCAAATACACTTAAAAAACATAAAACCCGATACAAGGCAACAAAATCTAACATTAACTCAAATGAAAGGAAACTAGACAAAAGACTCTTCTCATATTCTTGTACAAAACACATAGTAGTAAAGAAGGATGTTGCCTCAAGATCTTGAATGTTAAGATCTTCAGCTAAATATCTAGAGCAACTTCACGTAATTTGTAAGAAAGAAAGGGAACACCAGAAACCTTCAACAGCTGTTGAAAACTGTCAGACTAAAACAGAACCATCACAAGAGACAGATACATTACATTTCCATGCCAGGATTCCCTAGTAAGGCAGCCATGGCACAGCTCCTTATGCCAAGAGCACAACAAGAATGAGACACAACAAGTCAGGTGAACTGTCCTTTTGATTACAGAAGCCTTTGAAAAAAGCACTGAGAAGGAGAACATGCACAACTGAGTCAACACCTTTAGAATTAATACTTACCATTAGATTTTGATGGATTCCTATGAAAAATGGAGGAATCTGCTTCAGTCTGACCAGCCCTTGCTTGGCTTGAGGATCCACTGAGCTTATGAGCAGCTTCATCCCTTTGAGAATAAAAACAGGGGATAACTTTCTTGGTCACTTTACTGCCCACAATAGCAAGGCAGAGAAGCAGATGAGATCCTCCTGGTCAGAGGCAGACAGCTGCAGTGGTTACTAGCTAGCCTGTGCCCGTTTGTCAGTGTGGTCACTTTTACAGCAAGATGTAGGTTATCCTCATGTAGCTATCTGCCTTTGGCCACAGGAGTCACACTCTGAAACAAAGCCTGAGGTTTCTAAGCTGAATTGCTCTCCTTGAGACACCTCTGAATTTTAACAGGCAAGCAGCAGGGCCCATAGAGTTAACATAATAGTTATGTTAACCTCTGCACTGCTGGAACTCCCCACCAAAGGGGCGTGCGACAGAAAATGCGCAAAATAAAATGACAGCCACATAAAGCAGAACTCTTAAGACAGAAAACAAGTAGACTTTGGACCACAACATTCCTGTTTTCCACAAGAGCAACGAGAAGGGAGAGGCAAGCACCCGAAAGCCATGCACCTGCCACCTGATTACCTGAGAATATAAGCAAGGTAGCTATTGTGGCTCTTGGCTGACCTGACGGTGCTCTCTAGGGAGACAGTGGATTCCCCGATCGCTGTGCGATACATATTTGGCTCTTCTATGTATGTGTTGTTGCAGTTCAGAGATCGCTGAAGGAAAAAAGGACACAAGGCAACAGTGAATGATTCTGCCAAAACGCCACATTACCCATGAATATGTTAGATTTTGAAGGAATCAAGTGGGTTTTGATGCTGAGGAAAAGAATTCTTTCCTCTCAAAAGTTTTAATTAAAACAGTAATAAAAATTTTTGAGAGATGCCATCAATAATCTTTGTACAAGTCACTGAAAGCAATCAGACAATTCACTTAATTACAGACAGGCCACCTAGAAATTTATTTTGGATAACTTCAACCAGCAAGAGGATGACTTTTTCCCAATGTTTTTTCCTTACAGTTAATAATGTAGCTCTTGTTGCAGTGGAATCGTCTGGAAGAGGTTTCTTCCCAGTTAAAGTGTTCTTCAAGTGCTTCCTGACTTCTTTGTTAAATACACAGTGGAAGAAGAAAATGAACAGCCCCTGGACCATTTTAGAGAGAGGAAGAATTAATGTAAATGAATAATTACTACCAAACTGCAAATACAGATACTAGAAAACAGACGTTTGGGAAAAAAATAAAATTCTAGTTCATAGTCTATGATTTCAATAGCAATAACTATTTTCTGTCTTTGACTGAAATGGCATTGATTAACCTCCTAGGCCTTCTTCATAATTTGCTTCCAAAGTCAGATGTGCATAAAAGCCCTTGGACAATACATACAAGGATGTGTTCCTCTAGGACTTACAGAGCAGAGCTTGTGCCACCCTCCCTCATCATTTGAGAAGAAACTTATTTCTCAAAATATCCAATGAGAACCAAAATGTCCTGCTGGAAGATATTGCAGGGAGTTTCAGGGCGGTACTTGCACTAAGATTTTAGAGCTTTAACACCAATGATGAGAAAAAATCAATAGCAGCACATAAAAAATCCCATAGCCTTCAGTAAAAACCTCTGGAAAGAGGGAACTTCCTTGGTAGGTGTTCTTAGTATTGTTGCTAAGGGAACTTTATAAGGCCTGTGAGACGTGGAGAGATACTGGGGGCAGAGAGGTCCTGACTTTCACCCTGTATGTTCCTTGGTTCAGCAATACCAAGGGAATACCATGGGACAGTCAGTAAAATCCCCAGGGGTGGGCAGCTGTTGGCTGTCAGGAGCAGACATTGACTGTTTTTGCTGGGGGCAGGGGGCACACACGTGTGCACCTACAGATGTGTATGCTCTGAGGGAACTGATGCAGCTGCCAAACTGTTATCAATTTTGGTTGGAGATACAGAGTATAGAAGCCAATAACTCACAAAGTTGCAGCTGTACCAACACCACAAGATGCCTGCATTTCATGATTTCAGCCAAAGCAATTGACTTAAGAGTAACTTTAAACTTCAACCTCACTTTCCAAACATTCAATCAAATGTGATCCTAGCTGGCATTAGCACTTTGGGATTATTCATTAATAAAATTCACATAAATGTCTCTTTAAAAATTCAACTTCAAAGAAGCCAATGACGTGAAACGCCACATACCACTGTGCCTCTTTGGGCAAGTTTTGAGAATTCCAGCTGCTCGCTCTTCCTCCCTCTCATCAGGTTTATAATGAATTTGATTTTATTTTAGTCTTGTAGAAGCCTGGTTTTACAGCCTGAGTAGGTGTATTTCTTTCAGAGAACACCAGTTGCAATGGCAAAATAACCTTGCTCCGGGATGGCCTACCTGGTGTGCTTCCAGAGCATAGGCAATGACCTCTGGAGGAGACCCACCAGGCTTCCTTTTCTCTTTGGCTGCCATTTGTCTCTGTTGTGCTGTAGCCGACAAGAGTGTCCTGCTAGCAGCAGCTGCTTTAATGCTGCAGGCACCTGCCAGGACAGTTCCTGCTATCCTTGGCCACATTCAAACTGTGACCAACATGAAGCTTCATGACCACTTCTATGCCAGGTCTTCTACAAACAACTATTTTCTGCATCTTAAATCAACAAGTACTTTCTGCATCTTTAATCAACACTAGTCCTGGCAACCCAGCAAAACTCTACGCAATGAGCTGCATTTGAAAATCATTATTGGACTCACTTCCTTAAACAGTAACTTGATTTGTGAAAGCTTTGAACTTGGAGCCATTCACTCCAGGTGAAAAAAAACAGCCTCTTGTTTGTGGTAGCAACAGAATGATCACTAACAATGAGCATAGAGACGACAGTACTGAAGATTTTGTCTCAAGAAAGATAAAGGTGTAATTGCTCATGGTTATTTATCTGTCACAGGTTACAATAGCAGAGCACTCATCTTTAGCATGACTAAAAGCGAGAGATGCAATTACTCAGAGTTAGGGTTTTGCTGAGAAGAACCCTGTCTTTGAGAAAAGAGCAAAACCAGCACTTGACATCTTTGTTCTTCCTGAGCTAGTTCACGCTCAGCAGGTGCTGGGACTGGGTGCGGCAGCGCGCTCGGCAGGCTCTGCCACAGGCAGGGGCCATCCCACTTACCTGCAGGCAGCTGAAAACGGCAAAGAGGTAGTGGAAGGTCATGACGTCGCTGTTGACGGCCATCAGCCCCAGGAGCCAGGTGGCGCTGGCGAGCAGCAGGAGCAGGAACGCCGTCCGCAGCACGGCGCTGGAAGGCAAGCGGGGCGGG